CCCTGATGTAGCTGAAATGTCGGTTTTGGCTACAATTACGACCCCGACGCTACTTCTCAAACCCAACAATGCACAAACCCGTTACGCAATTTTCCTAAAAAAAAAAATGCGTAAACAGAGTGCGCTATGCTAAGACCTACATCCCTGACGCAAACCACGAAAACTACGTCAATACCATGGAGTTCGTGCCTTCCAATGTATGCAGCAACAACTCAACCACTTAATGTCCGGAGAACCTCGGGGATTGCGCGTTAGGGGGTTCAGGGGGTATCTTGCCCTTGAAGTCAGGTCAAAGCCTGCAGTTCCTTCCCGGTCAATCCGACGGGGCACTTCTCCCTGGGTTGAGTCCCAGACCCCCGAAAGGATCTAGAAAGTAGATCCCTTAAGGGGGTTCCTATAGGGTACCATTTAGTAGTTAGGGTCCAAAATTAGGGGATCTACTTTTTAGATCCTCCCGGGGGTCTGGAGTGTGGGTAGCGGCAAACCTCAGGAGCCCGGCGCCACCTAGCCTATGTAGTGGGTTGCGGCAGCCGAAGTACCCGTCACCCAGTAATCGACTCACGGGGCTTTCAGGGAAGCCCAGCAATCCGTGGCAATCCACTTTGGGCTTGGGGTTTCGGAAGGTGACTCCTGAAAGCTCTGACAGGAACGACAACAGAAGTCGGTGAAGGACACAAAACGAGACGACGATCAGTCGGATGAGGAGCTAAACCCCTGAACCCTAAACCCTATTCCGGAATGTCTGTTGCTGTTCCTACAATTGCAAGGGTCGGGGTCGCCTACCGGCTCAAGAGGTTTAGCGGTTTGGGGTTTAGGGTTTCGAGTTTAGGGGTTTAGGGCTCATTAGGGTTTGATGCAGGATTGCGTGAAATCATGCAGTGATCAGTAGAGTCTGGGTTCAAGAAAGGGTTTAGGGTTTAAGGGAAGTTCGGGCCAAAAAAACAAGGAGGGGGTCCTAGGCTTTGGGGGCAAGGCTTTTGATTGGGGCTTATTGCGGTTTTTTCGATGTTGCCCTTTGGGCTTCGTTGCGGGGGCGGCCTCAAAGTTTGATGAAAGATTCAAGCTCGGAGCTTGTCGTGCAGGGCAGATTTGTGATCGGGAATGGTGGCGAACGGCACCTCAAAACCACCCGAGAATTCCTTCCCAAACCCGGAAGGTTGTCCTTGTGCTGGTGACCTGAGATAGCTTGAAGCTTGGAGTTCAACGTGTGCGATTTCATGTTTGGCTGCAGACTGGGGTAGTTGTGGAATCTGCATCTGCTTGATTGAGGGTGTTTTCTGATAGCATGAAGCACCACTCAGCCTGCAAGGAGCCCGCCGATGAGAAGCCAAAGAACTCCGACAAGAAGGAAGACAAGGACCAGACTCAACAGCCACATCCCTAAGCTGCCATTTCAGTATAGTTGAGTTATGTATCAACAGGCATGGCTTCAGCCCACCACTGCCAGCACCTTTGTGGGAGCGTAAGTTTTGTGTTGTGACCGTTTGGCATCTTAACTGCAAAAAGAAACGATTCTTCTAACGGGTGGGGCTAGCTCTCTAAATCAGCCAAGAAATTGCTGCAAAGCGCATGGCCAGCGTTTGCGAGTCACTAGCCTAACACCACTTGAAGCCTCGTCTTGCGAGCCCATGCTCTGTTCGCTCAATACATGCTGCGAGGATGAAGATGATGCGTCAGACAGCGGGGACGACTAGATGTCATCCACGTCGTCATCTGTTATCACGTTTACCTATATTGGCGATCAAGCTTGCTTGGAAAGCAGATGAGACTGCAACTGGTCTGCAGCACGAAACATGATATGTGCATGGTAGAGAAGTGCGACGTGGCGGCACGATTAGTGCTACCACAAGCATCTTGCGTCACAAATTCCAGTCGCAGTCTCCGACCACCTGCGGGTGAGGATGCGTTGCGCAAGGCTTGCTCCTGATGGCCATTCCAGGGGTAGCCCCAGACACCTGCGACCCCAGACCCTGCCCGTATGAAACATCGGCTTACGCAAACAAGTATTGCACATGCAGTGGAAAACGTCGCAGCCGAGCTCTGTCGCAAGTAAGGTAGCTACAGCTACACTGGCTACACTATTTTGTGTGTGTATATGTATATATGTAGATGGATAATATATGCATATGTACCTAATTACATACATACATATACACACACACACATATATATATATATATACATAGGTTTGTATATATATATATGCATATATATACACACATTTATTTATTTATTTATTTATTCCAAAATCAGGCACATGGGGCCTTACTTAGTAGGTCACCCGATCCTCCAAGTAGAAACAACTCCTTTAGACTTTCAGACTTTGGAGCTCCTCCCAGCTGTGGCCTGCCCCGAAAAGTAAAAATTAGCGACAAGGCTTTAGGGTTTAGGGTTTTAGGGTTTAGGGTTTAGGGTTTAGGGTTTAGGGTTTAGAGTTAGGGTTTAGTGTTTCGAGTCCGTTCCTTCAAAAAGGGGTTAGGCTTTAAGATTTAGGGTTCCGGGTCGAGTCCATTGCTTCACAAGGGGTTTAGGGCTTAGGGATAAGCGATGCGTGTACCGAGCCACAAGGTTGGTGACCATACTAGATCAGTCTATGAACATGCACTCTCAACTGATTGAGCCAGTAGCCCTAAACTCCAAACCCTAAACCCTAGACCTAGACCCTATGTAGGAGACATGCGCCACTATCAGGCCCTAGATTTCAACTTTTCGGCCCTCACCGGGTCGGCAGCGGAGGGTCGCCCTATCATTTTGCCACGAAGCGTCGAGCCGCACGTGTTCAGAGCTGCATGCAGCCGCTAGAATGCAGGACTTGCAAACTTATAGCAGTCGAATTGGTAGCCTTTCAGTTTTTTGGAAGTAGGGTACTCCCTACACAACCTTTAATCTAATATATTGGTAAAGTAAGAGGACGGCTTCAGCGGATCCAGGGTTGTGGGATCTGTGAAATCAGCGGAGTTTCAGAGAGCAGTTGGCTCATATAGACCCGAGCTAGTAGGGATCCTTATTCCCCGGTCCCTGTGAACCCTGCCCCTTTGTTGAATTGCGGCTGTGGCTCTGCAAGTGTACGGCGAAGGGTTGGATGAGGTGACCTCGTGCAGTGCAAGGACAAGGAATTCCTTGCGAACGCTCCAAAATTAGGATGAGATAATCTGTGAGTAGCTGTTCCCATGCTGGGATTCTTCAACTTGTGGACAATAAGAATAATAACAATAATAATAACAATAATAATAATAAGGATATTTGTCTTTCATGTTGGGCGTCATACCGGACCATGGGCTGATAGCGGCACACAGCAAAGTCGACCTTTGCTCGGTAGCAGCAAGGTTGGGATGCAATCTAACCAGTCTCAAACAGGTTTAGGGTTTAGGGTTTAGGGTTTAGGGCAGGCCCAGGCAATAAGAGTTGGAACCATGTTTAGCATCATGACTTCGAACAAAACAAATTACTTCTCTGGAGCGCAATGAAGGACACCTGCAACCCTGGCAGCATTCCCGAAAGGGCCAAGGCGACATTCATCAAACCGCGCATTCCGCCGCAATAAAACAGCGGGCGCTTGTCAGTGTGACTGTGAGGGATCCCGGGCCAAGGGTGGAAATCCGAGCAAGTTGCCGACAGCCTGCGGTAATCCTCTCCCAACCTGAACTCCAAATCATTTCTGCAGCCTGTCGTCGGACTGTTTTCTGCTTCGATTTTGAGCTTCCCTGCACACTATGGCATGCCTAAGGCTTCAGCTAAACAAGGCACAGCACCCCGAAGCTCAAGACCCCTGGCATCCTTTGCAAGCCCGGGAAGTACCAACCCTAAGTCCGAAGCCCAAGGATTTCAACCGCAACCTCCAAAGTTGGATTATGGTGAGAGAATACTGAAAACAGGTTGGCAGGAACGAGAGCAATTCATGTGACGAGAACGATTGTAGTACTACGACCGCAACGAAAGGAGGATGAGTGACATCCATCACAGCAGTAATGATACCGAATGCAATGCTGCTGGGAGTTTTTAGTGGTGCAAGAAGAAAGACGATACCAGTAATAACCGTCATACCTGGTGCAAGCAGGGATCGGCTTAACCGGCAGAACTCCTGAGTGGTTCCTTTCTGACGCATGCCATAACATGCAGTGTTTAAGGCCCCTTTATGGGTTGAATTCGACACTCACGTTGCTGTCTGTGTGCTTTTCCTCATTTGGTAAGTGGACTTGGAAGTCGAATCTCCCTGGCTAAATTTTCGGAGCTTGTTATCCGGATTCCCTTCCCTTCCCTCCCTCCCTCCCTCCCTCCCTCCCTCCCTCCCTCTCTATCTCTCTCTCTCTCT